ACATCTGGAGGGGTACCTGTTTCCCACCATCATTTAGGAGCTTGAATAAAGAATATCTCCAGTTGCCTAGAGGATCAAATGTATACAGGGGGGTTTTATTTTTGAACAGGCTAGTGAATATTTTCTGCTAATGCCAAATTTGAATGAAAAGTTCAAGTATAAATGAGGAAGTTTAATTTTAAATAAGCAGTCCACTCCCAGTTTTTAAGAGCTTGGGCAAAGGTAGCAATTGCATGTAGATAGGGAAAAATCAAAGTACTGACAAATCTCAAATGCCCTGATATCAGATAAATCTGGTTAATAATTCAAGAACAAGTCTCATCTTATAAATGAAAGGATTGCCTTCTACCCAAGCATGTTCTTAATGTTATATTTTATTAATGTTATATTGGCTAGATCCTGGTTTCTCATATCATTTCAGCTATTGATGCTTTTCAGAGGCTTTTCCATGGGACAATGTTTTCCAGTGTTGCTGTTAAGAGACTTCTAACAAACTTAGCATATTATGACAGTGTGATATAAAATCACTTTATTCATATTATAACAACTGTGTTTTGTTAGCTGTTAAGTTTAGTTTGTGACCACAGACCATGCAGAAAATCATAATAGGGTCTAAGTATAATCCTTTAAGATAACAGGATGACTTGGGCCACTTTCTGTGCATATTATCATTTTTATCAGTTATTTTTGCTCTCTGTATTTTTCTTTTCATTTTATGCAGTTCTAGTCTTTAGTGCCCCCCTACCTGGAGAACCAAGAGCATCATTTTAATAAGATTGGCCTATAGGTGAGTGCAAGCCACAGTTTGTTTGAAACCAAAAAGTAGATCTAGCTTGTCTCATACTCGAGAACTTGCTAATCTCCACAGCAGGAGTTGAATCCTGTAGATGTAATTAACCAAAGCCAAAAATACCTGTTTTTGGGCTAAATCAGTGTTGATACATGCCCCAAATTTGAAGAGGAGTTTAATTTGTGTGGTCTTTTGGCAGTAGCGGGCAACCAATATTCTTTGTGACTCTTCAGTATCACTAGATGTACAAAATTATAAATTATGGGCAAATATTAAATTGATTATGTAGTGTTTGGACTATTTAAAAAAGAAATGTCAATTCTAGTGATATTCAGTTTTCTGAATATTGAACCAATTTGAACCAATTTGTTAATATTTCAATGTTTACTGATTTAATTAAAAGGTTGATAAATATCCTTGTAATCATTCAGTTCTTCAGAAATCTTAGCACCAAAGTGTTTTTCTCCATGAAATATATGACATATACTTTATATTCTGTTCAATAAGTGATGTACTTAATGATGGGATTTAATGTGTTTAGTAACTCAAACACTGAGAGCCAGTGTGGTTTAGTGGTTAAGAGAGCAGGTCTTATTTCTAGTCCCCATTTCAGCCATGGAGTCAACTGGGTGACTTTAAGCTAGTCACAGACTCTCAGCCCAGCCTACCTCACAGGGTGGTTGTTGTGGGGATAAAATTGACAGCAGGAGGTGAATGATGTAAGCTGCCTTGAATTCTTAAAATCTAACAGTAAAATCTCTTACTTGTAGTTGAATTATGACATTTCATAAATGTTCTAAATTAAATTAATAGAAACTTAAAGATTCTATTAATGGCAGACATACCGTTCTGTAAATGGAAGGGATTCCAGTTCAGCATAGTTCCTTCTGCAAGGAAAAGATGGAGATGACTTCTGCCAAGTTCTACTGTATTTCTTGGAGAGCTGCTGAATGGGTTGGAGGACCCATTAGAATACTATTGGATGTGGTACTGGGAATTTCACAAAAAAGGAGGAACTGCTGAAATTGCCTTACCTGCACTGTTTTGATGCAGACTCTTGATTATGTCCCTTAATATGCAGTCATGGTCTTTTCATGTGTTATTTTCATAGGTTGTATAGGAATGCTTAAAATTATGTATATATTGTCTTGCAGGAGGATAAAAGAGCTTACAGATGGCAGATAATAGGTAAGTTCTCACTAGCCCATTTAAGTGGTAGTTATTTTGTTCCAAAAGAATTATTTGTGATCATAGAATATATGGATTCACAAATTGCAAAGCTTCAGTGTTTGTATAGTATTGTTTTTACAACAATTAGGGTTTTGAGTGCATTTGACTGTACAGTTCCTCTGGTTTTGCTTTTGATAAATGTTGCTTCTATTTTGCAGTAGTTTCATAAAATAGGTATTTTATGGTATTTATTCCCATTCTGTCAGTGGTTGGTTTGAGATTTCCTTAAATAAGAGTATGGTAAGAAATCTATTATACATTTGTTAGCTATTTCACAGGTAAAATCACTCTTACCTACTTTATCTGATATTATAGTTGAATCAGTCTCTGGTTCTCTGGGTGCATCCATTCTGCTCTGAGTTCCAGTTGTTGCAGCCTAACATTGATAAACTGCTTCAGAGAGCAGAGCAAGTTAACCAAGCCTGTTTGCCATTGTGGCTTTTCACATCTAGCAGAGAAGAGTTGACTAGGTGAAATACAGTGAATAATGGTGATCTCCTTGAGAGAGGAAGTACCATAAAGAAGGTGGTAGTGCAGCCACTTCTGGAACAATCTGCTTTAAGACTCAGGTGCCTCTTAGCAACTATCAGCCAGATAAAAAATTTGCCTTGAGCAAGAACCTGAGGGTGTTGGCAGGCCAGATTCTGGTGCAGGCATCAGGTTATCTAGACTCATTGTAATAGAGCTTGAGGCCTGATCTTTTAATACAGTAACCACCTTGGTCCCATTCTTAAAACAGGCTTGCTTACTTTTAAAAAGTGACCTCTGATGGGTTGGTATGTCAGCTGTGATCCTTTCTTGAACAGTCTTGCTGAGATTATCTATGTTCTGCTAATAAGCCTTTTGTATGACTGCAATCTGAAAGCTTTCAGATTGGGAAATTTCAGTTACCTTAGAATGCAATGGCTGTCATTTTGTCGGGTGTTGCTTTCTCATCGACTTAAAAGAACTACATAGAGTGCTTACTCACTTCTGAGTACAATTCATACTCTTGGTACTTATCTTTTAAAGCCCTAAATACCTGGAACTAATGTATTTGAATGAGCGCCTCCTCTTTTCCCAGCCTGCCATGATCATCAGCTGATGCCTTTCTCTAAATATCTCTTCCATCAGAAGTGAGGTTTGTTAGATAAGGGGAAGGGTGTTTGGCAACACACTTTTGGTGTATGCTTCCTGTGCAGGAATGCATGACACCAAATTCAATGGTACCAACAAAACCTTTAAAAAAATTTACCCACTCATCTGAAAACATTTTTACTATGATTTTAATTTTCCTGTTATCTGATCATGGCTTTGTGTACACCACAAATTCTTGCTCTATTACTTATAGTAGCCATGCTCCAGTTTGGCAACCTATGTGCTGAATCATTGCATAGTAACCAGACATAATGTACTGGGGAATTGCCAGTGCATGTATTGCAAGGATTTCAGTGTATCTACATCTCAACCAAAAAATGCTGTCAAATATCAATTTGATATTTGCACAGTAGTTTTGTGACAGTTATTATTTCTTTAATTAGGAATATCTAGAATGTCCACTACAGTTGAAAGTCAGTGAAATTTCCTTAGCAAGCAGTCTGAGAATAAAGTGTGTGTTGTGGGTAATGTTTGTGTTCTGGGAACTCAGTATAATGGGACTGATAACACCTTAAGTTTTTCTCCTAGCACAGTGAGATTTAATATTTGATTTTTAGCAATCCACATTGTTGGTAATGGAAAGTACTTGCATTATTTTAAACATGTCTGTTTAGTAAAGTTTGAGTGCTGCACTTGTTCAAGCATATGTTTCAAATATGTTTTTGCAGTAAAACAGAAGATACTGCCTCAGATTCTGTGGAAGGTGCTAAAGGTGACAAAAAAGGTAACAGATTGAAAATATTTTAGAGCATAAAATATCCATCCTTTTCATTCTGTATTTTGTGTTTGGCTCATTCCTGCATCTGTCTCCAGTGGGGTAAAAGGCCTGATGGCAGAGACGTGGATGAATAAATCTAGTGAGCAAAACTATTGGGTTGAAGATTTAGCGACTGCATACTTTGTCGATCTTTGGAGAAGCATGCTTTCACCCACTGTTATAATTGTAAAGCTTTGCTAAGGACTTCTTTGTTTGTAGCATATAGCAGGGCATACTTGATGACAAGTGCTTGGTATAAAATTTCTCCAGAGTTACCTTCACCATGTTTCTCTTCCTGCCCCAAGCAGCCTTGCTGGTAAGAAGAGTAAATGTTAAAACCTCCCCCTTCCCCCATTGATCTTAACTTCAGGATTGCTAAAGAAAATGTAGATAAGTTGATTGTAAGATAAGAAAATGTAGGTAAATTGATTAGCTTTTGAACATAGACTCCATTTTCTATTTTAAAGAACTCAAGGTAGCTTACATCATTTTCTTCCTCTTGCTCTCAATCTTGTGCCCACAACAACAACCCCGTGAGGTGGATTGGGCTGAGAGTCTGTGACTAGCCCAAAGTTACCCAGTAAGCTCCATGGCTGAGGGCTAGAGTCCCAATCACATGCTTTTAACCACTATACCACACACAGATCCACTTCATGCTCTTTGATGTTTTCAGGTGAATTCTGCAAATCATTAGCTACTGTCTACAAAAAGTACCAGCACTAATTAAGCCCTTCATAGAAAAGGAACTTTGCCAGCATTGCTGGGTTTGGATAGGCAGGCATGTCACTTTGCTTCCTTGCTTTATTCCGTCCTGTGAGCTGAAAAACTCTGGAAATACAACATCGTCACTATAATGCACAGACCTTTCTTGGTGGAAGATACATATAGTGTATGAGTTTTCTTTCCATCATAAACAAGCACACGATAGCTGCAATATTATGTTTTCAGGCTTGGGTCTGATTCCCTAGAGTGCATTCCTTGTCTGTTGAATGCAACACGAAAAAAGCCACAAATTTGAATGAGTATCCACAGCTGTTTTAAGACTGAATTTGAAATAAATACCATTGAAGGAATAAAACTACATTTCATGTCATTTTATCTTCTTCACTTGCATTTTCCATTGCTTGAATTTTTTTCTAGTTAGGTCCTGTTTTGCTATTTTGGAAGCACAGTACTGCATGAGCTACAGTTAAAATTCTTGTTTTGAATACATAGAATTGTTTCCAAAATATGTTAAAAGTATGTAGTTCACTTAATAGTCTGTTTTCTTACATTCTCTTGCTTTTCTTACAGAAAAATTAGCAGATCAAGTAATGCAGAATCCACAAGTCTTGGCAGCTTTGCAGGAGCGACTTGACAATGCACCTCACACTCCTTCCAGTTACATAGAAACGTAAGTGTGAGAAACATGACCTGTCCCAAGCTGGAAATACAGGGGTTCAGAAATGCACCTCTTGTTCTTAAGAAATCATCCTGAGAGCAGGGCATGCTCCAGACCTGCTCCAGCCTTTAATAGAAGGACAGGGTTTTTCCCTGGAGATGTATGGAAAGCATTGAGAAGAGTTGGTGCAATGTCAGATATTTAGATCCTGCCATAAACTGAGAGAGGGGTAGGATTAGGGTTGGATATATAAGTTGATTAGCTACCAAGGATACGCAGTGTGAACTCTCATCAAAGTGTAACCAAAGTGAAGGGAAAGCCATTTGTTTTTGAATAATTGATACAGTGCTATCCTATTTTTTCTATTAGTGGTACAAGACTACCACTTTTTTTTGTAATTTAAAATAATGAGGGGTGTGGATAAGCATTTCTGGTAATTGTATTTATTTATTGTAGAATATAAATGTAAACTCAAGGTGGCATTCATGGTTCTTTCAGCAGTTTATCTTCACAACAGTCTTGTGTAGTAGGTTTGGATGAGAAACATTGGACTCATACAAGGACACCCAGTAAGCTTTGTGGCTCATTAGGGTACAGAGCATTTCTGTTTGAAGTAAACTGCTGTGTCTCATGTAGACATTCATATCTTTATATTTGTTGGATCTAGTATTACTTATTGGATCAAGCTCCCTAGTTTTATATTAAGTGCAACATCTTATGGCAATGTAGTCTAATTATTTTATGCAAAAGCAGTTTGTTCCATCTCTTGAATAACTACTAAGTTAACCAAGCAACCCCTATTTCTTGTGTGGTGACAATGAACATTTCTCATACCTTCTTTCCATAAGGTTTTTAATGTAAAAAATTCCTGCTTTTTAAAGTTATGGTCATAAATACATTATCTATTACCCCAACTACTTCAGTTATCACTTCCTGTTCTTTTTGCATTTCTGGTACCATTTCAGAGGTGGTGTGGCCAGAAATGTATGCACTTGTATTAAGTGGAGGTTACTGTATTGTGATTGAATTGGGTTTTTCCCTTGTTTTCACTGTTTTTGACTTTGGGCTAAGCCTACTTCCCCTTCTTCACCCCATAGTTGCCTTTGAATATTGAGGTGATTTTGAGTCTTTATCTCAGCTGTCTGGCATTAACTCTTTAAGATTGTAAGGGGCAGGTCACATAGCCCAGCTATGCTGCTCTTCCAGGGATTATTAAACAGGTAAAAGCCAGCCTCAGCAGCATAAAATAACTTACATGTGTATATTCCCTTCACCTGTAGTAATTTGTACCACCTCATGTATGGAGTCAGATGAAATCTTAAAGCCTTACAGGACTAACACTTTCAGTAAGCATATACTGTAACTCTAAATGTAACTCTAAACTCTACTTCTGGTAGACGAAGCCAATTTGTCCACTGTGTGTATGAGTGAGAGAGATAGGGGGTTAGATTGTATTTTCACTGCTGCTCCACTCTACCTTCCTCTGTTGAATTACCTACTTTAAATGGAGGGAGGGGGAAATCCAGGATCAGTCAGATAATACATATATTGAAAGCTCACAGGTTTGTGTGAGCTCCTGTGAGCTTTCAAGTTCTCCAGAACTCTTCAGTGGGTTAGGTAGTATTAAAAAACAAACTAGAGGCAGTTGCCTTTAGGGGCTTTTTGTAGCACTTGGAGGTAAGATGCTAAAAGAAAATAAGTTACTGAAATTGAGTAGAGGACACTGAATGCTGTTGCTGCATACATTTTAAATAACTTTATTTCTAGTTTACCAAAAGCAGTGAAAAGAAGAATTGATGCCTTGAAACAGCTTCAGGTGAAATGTGCCCATATAGAAGCTAAATTTTATGAAGAAGTTCATGATTTAGAGAGAAAATATGCAGCCCTCTATCAGCCTCTCTTTGATAAGGTAAGGGGTGGAGAGTATGGGGCATCTAAAGTTTACTTATAATCATTCACTAATACTAGTTAGAAAGCTTTCTTATTTGGCCAGTGAAACAACTCTTACAATTTCTGAGGAAGTTCAAATTAGGCAGAATTAGACAAAGTACTGTTGTTTCATATACTGTATAATTCTAATTGATAGTGCTCTAATTGATACTGCTCTAGTAAGAGCTGTCAGAAGAATTTGTATGAAGCCATTTTAAGGGTTCTCAAGGCCTTGCTTTTATATTGCTGTCTTTATATTGGCAAAAAGATAGTGATTTGCACTGTTCGTAACCTGTATACAGTCTCTTCTGCTTATGGGTTCCATTCCAGTGCTACAGTAACATCCAAGATAAGAAAAAGCTGGCTATTTCTGCCTGTGTCTTTGCTATTTTGGTTACATCATTTGTTAATTAAAAGGGATGTGATACTATCTCCATGCCTGGGTTTCAAGGCATGATGTTCAATTTAATATGACATATTATTTGGTATTTGCTATCTGTTACAGCTGACAGATTGATTCTTACTGCATCTGCCAGATTCTTTCCTCTCAACACTGTGGTTTTGCCACTCTCCAAGTCATGTCAAACAATCAGTACTATCAGTAACTTCAGACAGCTTGCAAAATTGGCTATCTTCCTGTGCTCTCAAAGTGTCATTCTTCCATACTGTTTAATTCTTACGTTTAGCTTTCTGTTATGCAGCTGTCACTTATAGGTACTTTATGAATCAATTTTTAGGGTTTCCAAGGCCTAGACAGTAATGTGCTAGTTTTGTGTGTATAGACTAAAGGGAGATGAAAACGACAGGTAAAATTGCCCTCTTAAGTCAGAATAACAGACTAGTAACATGGTCCTATTGATTCTGGTCATGTTTATGTTTCAGCAGGAACATAGCTGCAACCTTCCTTTACCTTTTTTTGGGAGTAAGACAAGTGTTTTTGTGTAGGGTTTTTAACTTAAAATAGTAATAAAAGTACAGCTAAGTGTTGGTTCTAGTATTTACCGGAAGACCAGTTCTGTTTTAAATATTACTAATTTAAGATAAATTAACTTGCAAATGTTAGAGGTGCAAAATGAAGACTATTCCTGGTACTTCTGAATATGTAGATGATATAATTACCAAATTTAATTGAGAAGACACTAGGTACTACTGTTCTCAGTTTTCTGTAGCACTCATGTTCTTGTTGGGTAACCTTAATATGTTCTAATGTTGCCTCAATTTTTATGCAACTCTTGCACAGAGAAGGGATTTTATCATTGGTAGTGCTGAACCTACAGATGCTGAAGCAGAGTGGCACAGTGAAAATGAGGAAGAAGAAAAATTAGCTGTGAGTAAAAAATTAATTTAAAGACAGAATTAGTAAGATAATTTAAGATATGATCTTTATGTTTTCTATAAACTATACTAATTGAACGACTACAATAAAATAAGACACATCTCTTGGCAAAACACATTAGGAGGCTTTATCAGTATGGGTGAGTAGGATAATTTGAAAGGTTTTCCTTTTTTGGAATAACTTGTTCCAGAAGTTTGCCTGATGGAACAGAACTATATGAAAAAGTTCTGTTTCAGTACTGTAATGTAGTGATTTGCACTGTTCGTAACCTGTGGACAGGCTTTTCTGCTAATGGGTTCCATTCCAGTGCTATAGCAATACCCAACGTAAGAAAAAGTTGGCTGTTTCTGCCAATGTCTTCTCTATTTGGGTAACACTCACCCCAAAATGGTATGGTGAAAAGGGTTGGTGGGAAAGAGTCAGATGAACTTTATTGAAGTTTGACTGCTGTTTTGGCTGATACCCCTCCTCTGCAGTGGGTATATCACACTCCACTTAAAGTCTTGTTATATCAGTATTTCCTGTCTAAGCATCAAGGCTGAAAGACTGATTCAGACTGTGTCCGCCACATTCTTTCCTCTCTCAACACTGCCACTTCAAACAGTCTTAGTGTGGGTGCTGTATTTTGGTGTTCCATCCATGCATTTTCCTTTCCCATTATCTATTGTTTGTGCTACATCCTCTAGTTCTATTTACCAGAAATCAGCAACACAGAATTATTCATGTTGTAGGATAGCACAGCTGAGGAGCAGAGGGAAAACTGTGATAAAACAAAACTGTAGTCCCTTAGCTAGGCAAAGAAAAGGCCATATGCACTTAGCCTCCCAGCACCTCCCCTTGAGGGTTGTTTCTGCTTTCATTGAACTAGCAGCAGTAACACAAGTCAAATTTTGAACTTTTTAATTAAACCTTGATTTTTTTCTTGTTTAACGTTATTTTTACATATGTGTGTCTGTGTTATATGTTTATACATTTGTATGAATATGGTTTCTATAATACATTTTAGAGTTTTAATCCTTAACTGCCCAGAGAGCTTCAGCTATTGAATTGTCAGAAATGTAATGAAATTAAATGAACATCTAAAATACTTGACGCTGATTTCTTCTGCCAGCTATTATCTCCTTCACAAAAATGCTGCCTGTCACAATACAGGGACATAAAGGAGTACTTAAAATAACTCACAAGTTTTAATAATCAGTTGTTTCATTTCATTTAGCATGCACATTGTATGCTGAATCCCTAACAAAGTTATTGGGCTTATAGCTCTAACCAGCTAGAACTTAGCTTCACAGTGCTGGTTAGGGTTAGGGCTTTAGTAGTGGAGGGAAGGAGAAAGAACATCATATCTGTGTACCTTGGGAATCCCTGGAATATGTAGAAACTGCTTCCTTGTTTTGAGGTGGTTCTGTTTCACTTCCAAATTAGTAAGTACACAACCTACTCTAAATATAGTAGTGATTGATTACTTTTCATAATGGAATGACAGCTGGTGAGCATTAAGACAATTGTGAAAATACTTAACAAAGTTCTTACAGCTTTAAGAAAGCAGGGATATATTTCAGTAGTTTCTAGACTAACACTTTTAAAGTAATCTAAGTGTATCTCTCTTCTGTTTCTAGGGAGACCTGAAAAATAAAGTAGTAATAGAAGAAAAAGAAGCAGGAGCAGCTGAAGAGACAAACCCCAAAGGAATCCCAGATTTTTGGTTCACAATATTTAGAAATGTAGATATGCTGAGTGAATTAGTACAGGTAATGGATTAAAATGATTTTAAGTGTGTTACAAGTTATGCCATCTCGTTTTAAATATTAAATGTCACTTTAATGAGATTTAATATTTGTCAGACATCTGGTATTTGAGTCTTTAGTTGCTAAAAGGCAGGTGTTTTCAAGAAAAACTTTGTTGTGGTTTGATTAGGCAGTTCCCTTTTAAAAGTCATTATTTTTGTTTTCATTAGGAAATGCTTTAGTTCAGCCTGAAGAACTGCACCCATTCTTACAGATGTTTGATTCTGCCATGGTTACACATTGCCTTAGTTACATCCCATTTAGACTACCGTACAGTACAGTTCTATGTGGGACTGTCTTTGAACATGTTTAGAAACTTCAGCTGGTTCAGAGTGTTATGGCTAGACTGTTGACTATGGCCAATTACAGGGAGCACATGACACTTTTGTTACAGCAAATTCACTGGCTGCCAGACTATTTCTAGGCTCAGTGTGAAGTGTTGTTTATAACCTATGAAGTCTTATACACTTTGTGACTGGGCTGCCAGAAAACCCACATTTTCCTGTATGAATTTGCCTGGTTTTTAAGATCTTTGTAGGAGGTCTTTCTCTGTCTTGCTGCCATTGGGGGTGAATCAGATGGGAAGCATGAGAGGGCATTTTTACCAGGCTGTAGAGCTCCCTGCCATGAAAAGTTAGGTGGCTCCCTCTCTGATGTCCTTTTGCAGGCAGGCAAATATGTTTTTGTTCAGGCAAGCCTTAGACATATAAGCTGGTCTTTTCTGGAATCAGATTTTAATTGGGTGTTCCTATTCTGTGTTTTTTAAATTGAATTCTATGGATCTTTTTAATGATGAATTTTAATGAAGATTTTGATGTTTAACCTGTAATTTATTATTATTCACTGCCTAGAATAAGGATGTGTGAGGAATTTGATAGTAATCTGAAGATCAGACAGAGTTTCATGAAATGGTCTCTCAGACTCTGGCTGATTAGCCCCATGCTGGTTTCAACTTACTGTTGCATGCTGCCAGTTCATGGACATCCTTCTCGAAGACAGGCTGCAGTTTGTACATTAAAAGGGTGAAGAAGATGCATCAAGAAAATTTGTCCATATTTGTTCAAAATTTGCACAGTTCTTGAATTTCAGTAGTTAGCAGAGCTATCCTTATAGCTGTCTGCTGTGCAGAAGAAAAACATGAAATTGCAGTAAGAGTAAACATGTCTGGGGAACAGTCTTTCAGTCAGATTCTAGGCACCTGCTTTCCCATGAGTTTGGATCTTGTTCTAGACCAGGGGTCCTCAAACTTTTTCAAGTGGGGGCCAGTTGAAAGGCGGCAGGGACGGGCATGGGCCGGTGAGGCAGTGGTGGGTGTGCGCAGCAGCTTGCTTGGAGATCTCCCAGCGAATCCAAAACCATCTCCAAGTGAGCAACCCACTACCTCGCGCATGCGCGGTAAGGCGGGCAGCAGCGGGCACAGGCACGGGGAGTCCAAAACCTCTGAGGCGGGCCAGATAAATGGGCGAGGCGGGCCAGATAAATGGGCATGGCGGGCCAGATGCGGTACGCGGGCTGTAGTTTGAGGACTCATGGTCTAGACTCCTGCTTGCCACAGAGAATGAATCTACTCAAGCTATTCAGTAATTAAATTTTACAGAATTCATTGCAAGAAGATGTAGTCAGTGCCACAAACATACATGGCTTTAAAAGGAATTAGGCAAATTAATGGAGGACAAATCTTTTCGCCATGGTAACTAAATGATACCTCTGGATACCAGATGCTGGATGCAAACAATGATGTTAAGGGACAGTACTTTTTACTTTCATGGTCCTTGGATGTCTCTAAATCATGGCTGGCCGTTGCCAGAAATAATATGCTACTCTCTTCCAACAGGGCACTTAAGCCTAATGTGGTGATAGCCAGGAGTTCTGCTGCCTTACCTCTAGCATTTTGAACAGTCTTCAGGAACTGTGTTTTGAGAAGCATGTTAGGCTCTTTTAATACTATGCCCATTTCTCGTGGCTTGCTCTGTAGACTTCTTACTTACTTACATACATACATACATTTATTTATTTATTTATTTATTTGCCGCCCTATTCGCAAAAAGCCTCAGGACGGCTTACAACATAAAATAAAATATAACATAAATAAAATTCCCAGCCCACACTGGCTGCAGTTAAAAACATAGAAAAGACAATATTAAAACTTACTAAAATATCACTGGAATAAAAAGGTCTTAACCTGGCGCCGAAAAACAAGTAACAACGGCGCTAGGTGGACCTCTCTGGGGAGCGCATTCCACATCAGCCTTGATTTAGGGTCACTTGGAGACATGGTTTGCTATACGTTTCTTTAAAAGTTTTAGCTATGACTCAGCCATTCCAGTTGGCTTTATTTAATGTACTCTGTTCTCATACTTGACTGTTCCTGGAGGACTGTTTACTTAAGTAAAGGAGTTGTCTTTAGTTCCAAAGGATCTAAAGACCCCATGCCTATGCTCACTTGAATCAAGTTGCACATAGTCATGGCTCAGATTAAAAGGAAACTGTCAGAAAAGCCTTTTTTTAACTACTTAGTGATAAAGAAACCTTTCTCCTTTAGGCACCATCCTTGATAGCCAATTACTATCATCTCTGCCTGATCAGTTGTGAAGTGGTATTTTGTATGATTATGCTGGAGTAAGTCCCATATTGAAGGTCATTCACATGGCTAGACTTATGGATACAGGAGTCCTTCATTTATCCTAAGGTTGTTCTGTTGTAGCTCATTGTTTACACATTGGGAGGAAAGGCCTATGATGCTTATGGTATTCTCTTAAAATCTAGGAAAAGTGACTAGTGGTATAAAGAGTCTGCTAACAGAGTGTACTTGAGCGCTCCCCCCCCCCCCACTATTAAGTTATGTCAAGCCGGAGGTCTTGAATGATTCATTGTTCCCCCATTCCATCATTCTGAAGATCTCCAGAATGAATTAGGCATGGATCTTAAGCCCCAAACAGCTTTTACTTATTTTATTAGTACCCCACCTTTCTACCAAAATGTGTCATTCAAGGAGCCTTACAGAAACAATTAAAATTGATTAAAACAAGAAAGTTGTGTTAAAGTAGAATGCAAATAAAATTCAGAAAAATATTATTCAACATTGGCAAGTATGGAGCAGCTAAAGGCATTACCTTTATTGCAGGCAAGGAGAGACTTCCCTTTTTGCCCTTTAAAGGAGAACACTTAAAGGTTGCCACTGCTTTTTCCACTAGTGCAGCAGAGGTCACACTTCACTGTTTGAACCACTGGGAAGGGTCAAATAGAATCAAGAACATGACTAATTTTTATTTGTTTGCTGAGCAGGGATCCATGACTTGCCATGTGTTTTTCAGTTGTCCTTTGATCCTTACCTCTCATTTATATTTCTTTATTTATCCATGTATTTATAGGCCTCCTATAACTGCTGAGGGTTTCCTAGGTGGATTACAATACATAAAACATATTAACAAAGTAAAACATTAGAACCAATTAAAACACAACTAATTAAAACCTCTATGAAAGCAATATTAAAGGGCCACAGCATTCAGGCTAAGTGTTAAAATTTTTCCTAAAATGGTATGTCTTTGCCAAATGCCGAAAGGAAAATAAAGATGACACCAGGCAAATTTCCCTAGGGAGGGAGTTCCAGAGATGGAGAGCAGCAGCAGAACAGGCCCTTTGCCTAGTTGCCACCCCTCTTATCTCCCTGAGGGGTGGTTCTCGTAGAAGGGCCTTCTGAGCTGATCTTAGGGGGCGAGTAGGTATATAAGGGTGCAGATGGTCCTTTAGATAGCCGGGCCCCAAGCTGTTTATGGCTTTATATGTCAATACAAGCACCTTGAATTGGGTCCAGGCCAAAACTGGTAGCCTGTGAAATTCTTTCAGAACTGGTGTTATATGGGCTGCTCTAGAAGTACCAGTCACTAACTGAGCAGCTCAATTCTGTACCACTTCGAATTTCCAGAACATCTTCAAGCACAGCCACATGTAGAACACATTACAATATTCTATTTTGGAGTTACCAGAGCATGGGTAACTATCTTCAGGTTCCCACTGTCTAGGTAGTAGTGGAGCTGGAAAATCTGCAGCTGGAAAAAGGCATTCCTAGACACTGAGTCCACCTGATATTCCAGGGACAAACTGGGGTCCAGGAGCATCTCCAGACTGCAGACCCTGTCCTTTAGGGAAAGTGTGACCCCATCCAGGACAGGGTAGTGCCCTCCTAACCTATCAGAGGTCCCCCCACCAATAGTACTTCTGTCTTACTATTAAGCCTCAGTTCATTGACCCTCATGCAGTCCATTATCAAGCTCAGGCCCCTGCTCAGAATGGCAACAGCCTCACCTGGATTAGAGAAAAAGGAGAGGCAGAGCTGAGTATTGTTAGCATATTGCTGACTCCTCAGCCCCAAACCTCCAGATGGCCTCTCCCAGTGGTTTCATGTAGATATTAAACAGCATGGGGGGCAGTACAGAGCCCTGCAGAACCCTATGATGCGACTGCCATGGGGTAGAGCAACTGTCCCCTGGCATCACTTTCTTGACCTGGTCAGCCAGGTAGGAGCAGAACCACCACAAACTGGTGCCACCCACTCCTAACCTGTCCAGCCTGTCCAGAAGGACACCATGATCAATGGTGTTGAAAGCTTCTAAGAGATCAAGGAGAACCAACAGGGTCACACTCCCCCATCCCTCTCCCTGCACAGGTCATCGTACAGGGTGACCAAAGCATCTACATCCTGTACCCAGGCCTAAAACCCAATTGAAATGGATCCAGATAATCCAAATCCTCCAAGAGTACTTGAAGCGGCTGAGCTACCACCCACTCCAACACATTGCCCAGAAATGGAAGGTTGGAGATGGGACAGTAGTTATCCCTGGATCTAGGTCTGGCCTTTTTAGAAGTGGCCTAACCTCTGCCTCCTTCAATGGGACAGGGACCACTCCCTCTTTCAATGACAACCTCTTGGACCCAGGGCCGAACCTTATCCACAGGCCTGCCTTCCAGCCAAGTTGGGCATGAGTCAAACAGGCATGTGCTTAATCAGACAGAGCCAAGCACCTTGTCCACATCCTTAGGTCGCAACAACTGAAACTCATGCAATGATGACACATAAGGTGGCACACTGGACACTTCCAAAGGTTGATGTATACAAACAGAGTCAAGCTCCTAATGGATCTGAGCAATTTTTCCCTCAAAGTGCTGCGCAAATTTGTCACAACGAGCCATCAAGGGCTCTAGGCTTCATCTGGGTTCTTAGAGGCTTCATTTCCATATTAGCACTTATCATTTAACAAGGATCAAATATTACTACCTCAATAATTACTGGCTCTAAAGATGGAGGTGCCTTTTATCTAATCCCTGGCAGTCTTTCTTCAAAGAACCTGCCTCCTAGTGGATAGAGAGGAGAGCAACCAGTGTTTGGGCCTCTGCTTAGAAAGCAAGTGGATGAATTCACAGTTAAGTCAAATTATGTTCTTTGTTCTCTTTTCCTGCCCTTCATCCCAATATTAGCATTGCCTTTAGAAGGTACTTGGAACTTAATATTTGCTTTGCATACCTGATACCTTTTCTCCTTTTGGGATTCGTGTCTCACCTATATGTTTCCCTGTTTCCATCTATTGTTGTTCTTTTTCTTCCCTGGCTTAATCTGTGAGCAAGGACTGTATATGGCACTGTATTTTGTGAACACAGAGTTCTTACCCACATTTCACTTAGTGTTTTAAAAATAATTATCCAGTTACCATACTGGTGGTTATAACAGTATGCAATCTTCTGTATCACACAGCATTTAATCAGAATAAAGTTGGCTTGAGGATTGTTACAAAAACAATGGCTAAAACGATGCATGATTGTAAGAACTATGCTGGATAATTTTATAATTCTTAAATGATGTAAGATATGTATTTCATCTTGCTAACAAGTTTCCTTTTATATTTAGGAATATGATGAACCAATTTTGAAGCATCTGCAGGATATCAAAGTGAAATTTTCTGAGCCAGGACAGCCTATGGTTTGTACTGTTTAACTTTTAGAAATAATATTGAGGGATGTGGTGGGCACTAGTGATTTTAGTGTGGAGGCATTCAAATTTTATCTTACTCTATCAGGTTAATGAATATAAGCTTTGCAGTCCTGCTTCCCATGGTTCACTTTTGTATTGGAGCAGTCTTTACGAAATACAGTAATGATAGTAGCACCACCTACTGCTACTGATACCTGATGAAAAAAGACCATTTCAAATCTGGTCTGTATGTTTGAATGTCTTTTGAGCTACTTTGAAATATGGTCTCATTCATGGAGCTAAGGTGATGTTGGCCTTTCCTAGTCTTTCAGTTGGAGTGTTAAATTAGGCCTTTATTAATACTTTAAATATTGAATTTTCATTAAGTTGTCTCTTGGAGTTATTTATTTGTTTATTGCATTTAAATACCATCCCAATAGCCCAGAGGGCTCTCTGGGTGGTTTACAAACATTAAACATTATTTCTGTAGAGCTGTATGCAAATGAAATCTAAAGTAGCTAAAATTATTTGGTCAAATATGTATTTCAGGATAAAAGAAGCTATTTCAGTCATAAACTTTTTATCTTGACTAGATCAGCCTTTATACCAAGTTCTGTACTTCATTAACCCAGCTTATGGGAGTATGAACATGGTCTAAGTTGTCTGGCCCATTACTGACTGCTAAGTAGCACTACATGACTACACTTTCATTGGGCAGATCCCTCATCATTATCTGTCTCTCTTCATATATGTTTAGTCTTGTCTATTGGATTTAATTTTCCTTTGAGATTATTTAAGCCTTTCAAGCCAGTGGATCCTATCAGCTGTTGTAAATACTTGGATTCTTTTTTTTAGCAAACGTAAACCAGTTCATAAACAATTATGCAGTAAGTTGTCCTGTGGTGCCCATCTCCCCCCTTCTATTTTAAAGAAATATAACTTACAGGGTTCAAATTACTTCTGTTGAACTGAAAGGAAAGTAGAAAAATACCTAAGCTTAGTTGTGTTTCATGAGTAGCTTCAATTGCATCAGTTTGCACAACATGAAAACCCCACACTCACAGTTGAAAATGAATTGAATATAACTTGTTGTTGAACTAAGTTGTATGAACCCAGCTATGCCAACAAACCATTTTTTTTGTTAACCACAAACAACGTAGACTTTACAACCCAGCAACCAACCATGGTTTGTCTTCATGGGTGGCTTGAGATTAACAACTGTGGTTTGCTAACATAGCTAGTTCATATAACTAATAGTATGAATACAATGAAGGATATGAGTTGCCTTTTTAATATGAAGAAGTGCAGCAGGAACTAACTTGAGTATTATAAATTGAAATGTACAGCTAGAACAAACACTCATACAGCATCCTGTTGCTCTTCAAAGTATGCCAAATTCATTAACATGATGCACCAAGCTAGTTAGGGAACTAAACTATATTTGCAAATTCTGTCAGATCATGTCTTGGGTTATAAGCTCTTTGTGGTTTGCCTGTTCTATTTTTGGTACAGTGGCTATTCAAGTTATAAAGTTGCAGTTCATTGGGTTAGAGCAGAATCTTGAGATTTGATTTTGGATTTATATTGCATTGCAAGATTCACAGTACATCAGGAAAAAAGTTGCCAGTTTTCTAGAACAAGAAAACAGTTCCTGCCTGTTGAATGAGCACTTCAATAGAAAACAGCACTTAGTACCCATAGAGAGCTTTTTTTCTCCTAGCCTCAGGGCTACCTGAGCATCATGGCAGTAGCAAGTAGATGGAAGAAGTGGCAGCTGTGCAAATGTATGGAGAATGTGCTGGATGACCAGCTTTAAACTATTTGTTTAATTGCAGTATAAATGAATGGCATGTTAATTATCTCTCTCAATCAGCTATAGAAATTGTTTAACTTTTAAGAGAATCTGATGCATTTGCCCCTACTTGTCTGCCTTTCTTAGCTGTTCTTCAGTTGTTGATGATTGAGGCACTTGCATAATCCTGACCAAGTAAGAATAATTTTGACAGGCTACAAAAGTAGAAAAACAGTATCCATACTTGATGGTAGTGTGTTTGTGATCAAAAGCATATAATGATTTTTCCTTTCTCATTTTGTGTGAAGTGGGTTGTTTTGATCATGTGAATCAGGTCACCTGTGGGTTATTTGTAAGTTATCTCTGGGTTGTTTGAGTTAAATAACCATTTGTTCAGATTCAGATGTCATGTTCATAACCTATGATTGAGGAGATTGTGGAAAATGGAAACTGCCAATGAGCTCTGGTAATCCCCACAAATAATGGGTTAAATAAGCCCGAATTTGTTGCTGGGATTTGTGAACTGCCCCTGTATGTGTGTCTTATTTGTAAAACACACCATCACCAAAATGAAATTATTTCCATGCATCTTAGTATATATGAGGTCATAATAAAAACATTTATGGTCAGAATCTGATTATTCCTTTTTTTTGTTCACCCTATTCATCTGAACTAGCTGCAGTATCACCACAAATAAAAAGTCACAACTGGGATGAAAATATGAGTTGAGAAATTAAATAATTTCTTGAATCACTCAGTAAGCACTAGTGCTGTGAACTGTGCCTTATTTTAGCACAAATTATATTCCATCTTTCAATCTAAAAAATTTCCAAGAAGGCTATAAGATGTAAGTAGTAAAATGTTAGTTCTAGACAGATGCAAGAATTGATGCAATTCTTGTCTAAGATCTGTGTACCTGTTCCTACTGCTGATCTACTGTTTGTAATTTTTACCCCCTCTGCTTCTTAGTGAACAAAGTGTGCAGTATATTCTGCTTATGCTTTGGTCTATATTTGTATAGCCAAAAATAAAGCACAAGGTTATGTGCTATCAATATGGGTTTTTTTTAAAACTGTCAAAAAAAAGCATGTAAGCATGTAGCTCACTGATAGTTTCAAATCTCAAGTCGTTTATAAGTTTTTTTAAATTATTGATCATGTGCTATTTGGCAGAACAATACAAAATTGAAAGCTAATACTGTACCCCTCAACAGTCATGTTACAAAAAAGGCATTGCAAATCCAAATATTTTCTGGTACTAACAGTTGATCATTTTCTTTCTGTCTGTGTAAAATTGTGATGATCTTAGAACAATAATGGACTTCTTTCAGTCTTTTACATTAGAGTTCCACTTTGAGCCCAACGACTACTTTACTAATACAGTTTTGACAAAAACCTACAAGATGAAGTCAGAGCCCGATAAGACGGATCCTTTTTCATTTGAAGGCCCTGAAATTGTTGACTGTGAGGGGTAAGGAAATATATTTCTGAATGTTTTTTCTAGTTTCTAGTCTCAGTGTCAAGGCTGTGCTATAAATACATTGCAACAAAAATATAAAATATATAAAACTTGGCAAGTATATGCTGTAAGGCAATACGAATATGGATAGCAACAATGCAGTAATTATGCACACTTAGATGGATAAGATTTATGGGGTCAGTAACAGCATCTGAGACCATCACTCTTTTCAGCCTTGAAGATATAGTAACCTTGCATCTTGTAGTTATAGCGAGCTGCTACAGTATTTAATGGTAACTTTAATTCTTGGCATTGTAACAACTTTCAGCTTTTAAAGTTTTCTGCACTGTACTGCATTGTGCTTGTAACACAAAAATTGTAGTTACTGATTTTAGGGTACATTATTTTGTTTTAAAGCAAGATTTAAAGCTTATCCTTTTATTACCTAAGATAGACAGCACATTAAAATTATTTGCCTTTTACTGTGATTTTCCCAAGATGAATTCTAGGGTGTAACTATATTGACTAGACTGCACCATCCAGATAATGGAAAAGTTTGATAGCATTGAAGCAGCAATTTGGTCGTTCTTTCTCTTTTATTGTAGAGAAGGGGTTTGTGCAGTACATTGCCAAAAGTCTGTGCTTATCAGTGCTGTTTTCACAGTCGTAACAGTGAAATGTCTTTGCCCCCTAATTTATATACTGCCACCTTTCTTTTTGGTTAAATGCACTGTGCATCTCTCTCTTTAGTACTAGGACACAGAACTTTTATCAGTTTTTTTAATTGCTCTTTCTGTACAGCAAAGCTGGCCCTCTCCTTTCCCTTATGTTGATTTGGAGATGGCTAACATTGATGCTACAGAAAGCTGCTGCTGTCCTCATGGGAAGTGCATTTGTCTGGAAATCTATCATATGTTCAATGTGAAATTTTATTTTTAGTGTCACTGACACATACATTTAATTTCAGATGTACTATTGATTGGAAGAAAGGAAAAAATGTTACAGTTAAAACAATAAAAAAGAAACAGAAACACAAGGGGCGAGGCACAGTCAGAACAATTACTAAACAAGTACCCAATGACTCGTTTTTTAACTTCTTCAGTCCTATAAAAGGTAAACTTGGTTCACTGTAATCTGTCTTTATTAGGAGTACTTGTATGTTGTATATTTTACCATGTTTCCATCTTTGAAACATGAAGAGAATAGTTGAATGTTATGTATTGGAAATATCATCTAAGTTGTAATAGTTTTTATAAAAACTTTAGCATTGGGAGGGTGACTTCTAATTTTAGGAATAAGCAGTTAATATATGAAAATTTAACAAGTATTTCATGAAAATGTTGTAGTGATTTCACTTCCCTACTGCAAAGTCAGGAAATTCTTAATTGAAAAATTAAAGTGATCTCTGCTTTTGAGTGTCCAAGATTCCTGATTGTACACCAGTTGTGTGTGTGAGATGACCAGTTTATCAATGAATATGCAAGCTTTTGAGTAGCTGACTGTTCAGCTGGGCTGATCTCCTCAAATCTGGAACGTTTATGTGTTTGGAAGGATATGAGATCTGGGTTTCATGGTTCTATCTCTAATATTAATGTCCCTTGAGCCCTCAAAATACTCTTTGAACTTCCTGAGTTCAAAACCAGTTTGTGTGTGTGAGATTTTGAAGAGAAAATGTGGAGATGGGGAATAACATAAGTTGTGACTTTTTCTGTTTTGAAAAAGGGAAGTGAACTGTGGCTGTGTAGAAGAAAAAAACATACAAGTTGGCAGGTCTGCACAGACATCTAGCAACCATTCACCCAAATACAGGATGCTAACAAAAAAGGCGATAGACTTTTGTGTTCTGTTGCCAGGAAGCAGTGTGAGCATGTTGCCTCTTAATTCTACATGATTGCTATCACAGTGCCTGGTGCTGATTATACATTGCAGGCCTAGGTTTGGTGTTGAGTTTTTAATTTTGTGGGTCAACATATATTTAGTAAGAGTGAGCAGCTATATCAGAATGGAAGTGCTTGCATTTTATTTTTATAATGAACTTCAAATGTTAGCTTATGTATTTGAATTCCCATTATGTGGGGAAAATATGAACTTAGTGAATAACTTAGAAAGACTAGGCATTTCTTGATTGACAAATTCATATGAATAGTTTCCATACTAGAATATGCAATAGAGTTGAATTTTCAATGGACTGATTTGTTATCTTTTTATAGTTTCAGGAGATGGAGAATCACTGGTAAGTTCTATTCTAATGATTTATTCCTAGGTTTAGGTAGCTTATTTTTCATTCTTCTGTGCTGACAAGGATGCAATTTATTGAGGGGGGGGGGCATCAGACACTAAATTGTCTCATGCTGTCTGCTTATACCAGCTGTACTTGTACTTTAGGTTATTTCTGAAATGCTGCTTCATGGCTGGAGATTCAATCCCTCATGTTGGACTGTACGCACACTATTTTTCATTAACAATATCAGTCGTTGTGTGCAACACAGAAATTTCGTTTATGCAGTAGCAACTTTTAATTTCCTTATTCCTTCTTTGTTTCCTAAGCACTCCTTAAGCTCTGCTTTCTACAGTTAGTTGCAAATAGTCCAAGTGTGGTGAATTAGCATTTTCTCCTTTAACAGAAATTGATGTTCACACTAGATGAGTGACTGAACATGACTAGTTCTAAAAAACCATTATGCTGACTTTTTTAAATCTATCCTCAAAAAAATCACTGAGGAGTGATTTTATCTATCAAAATTCCTGAGGAGCAGATAAAAAGTGTATAGTTGATTTCTCTTCTAACCAAATTTTAAATGTAATAGAGGTAGAAACTGTAAATGTATGGATTTCAAATCTTCCACATATTTTAAAAGTTTCCTTTTTGGTTTTATACACATACAGACATACTTCTCCCCTTGATTTTCCAGGATGAAGATTCAGAGTGTACTTTAGCAATAGATTTTGAAGTTGGGCATTTCTTCCGTGAAAGAATAGTGCCCCGTGCTGTGCTCTATTTCACTGGAGAAGCTATAGAGGATGATGACAATGTATGTATACTTTACCTTACCTTAAAGCACGAGAACCTCAAATTTTTCTTTCCTATATGTAAAGACATTTTGTTACAGTTTGATTTTTCATCTCATTAAGTGGCTTTCCTTTTTAAAAGCAAGAGACTTTACTCATTAGTAGTCAGGTTCTGCTTGCATAATGGATTATGTCCTGTTAAATTTGAGTTTTGCTTTCTCCTTACCATCCCATAGAATAACAAACTGACATAGTATATGTTGGTAGAAATGGAGTTATATGGGGTCATGGGGAAACAAACAGGAGTTGCTGAGGGAGCACCAAAGGTTGGCAGCTATAGCAAGGTGAAAGAAGCTGCTGCATGGACAGCTTCTGCCCCTAGGGCTTTAATGAGAATTGAGCATATTCAACCTCAAGACCAGTTGAAAAAGAGAAACAAACTGGAGTGGAAGGGGGAGAGAATATACCCTATTTGACCTTTTTCACACTGCATCGTGCTTAGAAGGGGAAGGGCTGGCTGGAAATTTGAGGAGCAGGGTGAGAACACAGTGGGCTATTTTGCTTTAAGTCTTACTGCTCACTTCATATTTCTGGAAGTGCACAATTCATGTTAATAACTGTAATAATATTCAAATAATATTCAAAGCTCTGCTCTCCAATATAATAGTGATAATTACCGCAGATGTATGTAGTGGGTTTATAGTATCTCCACAGGTGCTGATGGAAGCTGAAAGAATAGCAACCTGTAATTGAGGGCGACATTTATCTGGAGACTTCCTAGCTCATTTTCCTAGGTTCTGCACTATCCCACATTTAAGGCAACTCAGCTACAGGAAGGCAAATTGGTGGGGATAGAAGATACACTTCATTTGACCAGTTTTCTGCTCTAACAAAATACTTACTTAATGGGAATGGCCTCACTGAAATAAGAAGAATCCCCTAATCATTTCCCCACAAAACACACTGCATTTGTGTTGTTGAGATAAATTTACAGACATACAACAAAGCACCCCATTCATCTATCACACAGGCAGATCTGCTTGTTCACAAGTTCACTAGTTCAATGTTGAGAGCCAACTTCAGGGGAGTCTCAGAGGGCAGGATGGGATGACTTTCCCAGTGGTGCCCCCCCACCCCAATTATGGAATGAGGCCCCCTTGGTGCAAATTGTGTCATCTTTTTGGTGCCAGGTTAAGATGCTCCTTTATGCTAAGTCATTTAAAGACATACAAGTATATGCAGGAGCTTAAAGGGAGTACTTATTCCAGGTGTTACACAGTTATACTCTTCCTAATATGTTTTAGTTGTTTAGTTGTTTATAATTTATATTTTGAAACGCTGTTATGGTATTTTATTGCATTATTTTAACTATTGTAAACTATTCAGAAAGCTTTGACTATTGGACAAATTATAATAATTACAGCAGAACATCTCCTTTGCTTCCCAATTGCTGCTTACTAGCTTTGCTATCACCTCATCCCTACTGGCTTCCCTAGAACTTTGCCTTCCTAGTTCTCCAAGTTCATTTTTTCTCTCTTATTTCTGTTTGGATTGGCTGACTGCAAAGCAGCAGATGTCCAGCCTGCAGCTGCTCCACCCTTTTCCTTTGCTCTAAAGCAGCAGTTTTCTACCACTGGTCCATTGACCAGCACCAGTCCGTGGGACATTTTCTGCTGGTCCGTGCGAGAGCTGCATGGTTGTTTTGGAGAATTTTTATTTTTTGGTATTATGCTTGGAAACTAATACACATAAAAATACTGTTTTATGTGCATGGTGCCTTTTGTTTCTGCCTCAGTGGTCCCTGAGGTGGTTTTCCTGTTTGCACCAGTCCCCAGCTGTGGAAAGGTTGAAAACCACTGCTCTAAAGCATGGCAGAAGCGTATTGGACAAAGGAGAGGAAGATGCTAAGGAAACTAGCTGCTAAAATCAAAAAAATCTTTTGAACTTTAAAAAAGTACATATTTTTGAAAGCCCTTCTTAATTGGGAGGGCAAGAAACTTTGGCAGGCACCAGAGACGTAATTGCTGAGCCACTGTTGTGCCTCTGGGTGCAGTGCAGCTTGACCCCAGAAATAATTGAGATGGAATAATTTACATGACTGAACATTGTTTGTCAAGATTTATTAATACTGTGATCTAAGGCATCTTTGCAGTTTAGCATTTAACCAAAACTACTGTGTACAGTCTTTTTGAAACAACTCCAGAGGAGCCTAGGTTGAATACAGCAGTGACCATATTAAGTTCTTCATTAGTGTGCATTTGAAAGTGTTAGTGTATGCACTCATGGTAATACTGAGAGTAGAAGCACATCTAGAATGCATGTCTTTGCTTAATGGTTCAATCTATTAAGAATCAGAGTGGGACCTAATCAAGTTTTCCCCCTCATTAGTTTGAAGAAGGAGAAGAAGGAGAAGAGGAGGTGAGTACATTCCATTTTACATACAGATCACTGGGGGAAAAGAATATTTAATTTTCCAGTAAACGAAAGAAACACATGTTTCAGAGCCATAAAAGTATCATTCTTGGCCACAGGTCTTAATATGAGCTATTTGTAAGAACAGCTTGTCTCTTTTAACAACCCTTTGCTCTGATGTTGTGAGATAGCTTCTTTCCATCTTGGTCAGCTATTAAATAAAATATGCACCAAGTCATACTTTGTGAGGTAAAACCTGAAAAGTAATGGCTTCCTGGCAGCATATATTGAAAAAAATGCATCTTTGTTCTTTTTAAAAAATTGACCCATGGGAAATGAAGCGAGATTGGCACCATGCAATATTTGTTCAGACATGTCTGTGTGTGTGCAGTGGGCAGTGGAGAGAGAGAGAGAACAGTTGAGACTATACACACACACTGTCTTTTTTAAATTCAAAGTTGTTTCTTAAGATTCTTAAGAGCATGAGATCTCTTCCTCATTTTCAAAGGTGGCTTTTCAAAAACCTGAAAGTATTCGCCCAAATGGCTTTTCCTATGTATCTACTTGACCCTTGGCTTATTGCCCAGTATTGACCAGTGTGGGGTGGGGCAGAAAAACAGTTAAGATTCTCTAGTGCTTTGGGGGCAGTGAGAATTCTTGGTAAAAATACAGAACTTCACAAGGAGGTTTGCTTAATCTCAGAGGCCCATAGTTTGTAGTAAGCTTTAAGCATTGTATCCACTGCTCTTTTTCTACCAGGAAAAGCAGCTAGAGCTGACAGATTGAATATCCACTCTACCTCTGGTACCCTTCCCATAGTGTCCCAAATCTGCTCCAGAGGGGTTGGGGTTGGGATACTCACTGGAGCAGATTTGAGAGGCTGTGCAGAAAGATGCAGAAGGGAGGCAGGAAAGCACCTATAGACCAAGTGGAAGTTCACTTATATAATGTTGGATTTAACTTAAATAATCCTGGATTACTAAATTCCAGTTGCAAATAGTTCAGATATTGGCATTAAAAACACAGTCATCTCAGTGCCGGATATGTTCCAGGTGGTGTGAGAGGCATCTATCTGTGACTTATCTCTTTCTTTTCAGAAGCAGGAGCCATGCAATTTGATTTCCCTCCCATCCTAAATATGAACTTGGCCCTTTATAGGCCCTTCTACAATTCTGTTCTAAAACCACCTTTGCTTAGGCTCAAGCTAGTCTTCTACTTTTGCAGTGTTCAGGCTTCCCTAATAACCACCAGAGTTTCTTCCCTGTATTTTTTTATCATCTTTGTGTTCTGTGTTTTTTCTTCATTCAGTAAAATAAACACCCATTTTTTCCTCTTGAGGTGCTATTCCTTTTTATCACTTAATCTTTTATGCCTCTTTCTGGTGGGTTCAGTTGGAGAGTGAACCAACAGACCTGATAATTTTTTTTTAAAAAAGGAAACACTTTAGGATCATTAGTAAGCAACTGGCAGGAATTTCACTGGCTACAGGCAAAGGTGCAGTAATGAGCCATCCTTTTGCATGTTCTGCTAATGCAGCAAAATGCCTAAGCCTCCCAGTAGTGGATCACCTTCTTCCCAGTTGGGACTGTATGAAATATGCAGCCCACTCAACCACAATACCTCCCCTTGTGTACCGTCAAGGTTTTTTGCTGACCTTGCTGCTTTGGGAGCTTGCCAGAGTGCCTAGGATGCTGCCAGTTTCTATCAATGATTCTGAGAGCAGTAATATCATTGAACACAAGAAGATGCAAAAGGACAATCCAGCTCAGACTGAACCCCTTTCAGCTTTAGCAGAAGCTGAAAATACTTACTCATCTTCATCCTGTCAAGTTTCCAGGATCAGATAGGTTACTCCTAATTGCCCAATGGATTCTGGTGAACTAGCTCACAATTCAGCTGTAGCTGTCATACTGTCCCAGGAACCTAGGCCACCACCTTTGTCACATCCCGGGGACTCATATCCCTCTCTTCAGAGGAGGCCAAGAGGACCTAGAATATCCTTGCTCCTTCCTGAGGCAGCTACTAACTTCCAGGATATTGCAACACTATTGCATATCCTCCCAGCCTATAGCCTTAATACTCGCCATGAAAGTTTCCTCTTGTTGGCATGCAAAGGCATCGGGCACCACTTCCTCAGTGCAGGTGGATCAGCACAGCCCTTAAGGACCCAAGCTGTGCTGACCCAAGAGGTTTACTTTACATTGCTCACAGTTCCTTCTCGAATCCCCACCACTTTTATTTATGTCTTTGTATTTCACAATCTTTGGTTCAAGAAGGGAAAGAAAGGAACTATAGGAAGAGAGGATGAGTCAAGTTACATAGTGCCTGACTTAACAGTAGGAGATAACACAAAGGTGGATCTCTCTGTACATCAATAAGAAGGAAACTTCATGGTCAGTACGAAAGCTCTTATTTTAATTTCTCTTCTAAACAGCAGTTTTATCCTGCTTCTTCTTTTTTAATTATCAGGAATTGGAAGGTGAGGAAGAAGGAGAGGAAGATGAAGAAGGGGAAAGTGAACCTAAGGTTAGCTTTATTAAAGCATTGTATTAAGTCACATTATAGAATATATGATATAACCATGAATTGTCATTTATAAGTTTTGTAATAGTACCCAGGTTTTGTTGTTGTTGTTCACTATAACTTGAATTTGGGTTGAATGATTTTTTTCACTGTTACATTTTAGAGCTCGAGTTAATAATCACTTTTATTCTCTTTTAACAGTGAATATTAATGCTCCTTTATTAAAACACACAATAAAACTAACACACATTGGCTGTCTTCATATAAATGTGTATAAACTGTATATACATTTACCAAAGCATGTATCCACATTTTAAAAGAATAGGAGGCTTGTTGCAGAATAAGTGTAACTTTGATTCTACTTTTGTACATCATGTTTTCTACTAAAGGGTGCTTTACACATGTCATTCTTTCTAGATGTAAAAAACAAAACAAAACCCACCTCTATTTGGAAATTATGTTGTAACTTTTACATATGCAATAGCAGCATAATTTATACTGGCAGAATTGTCACATTACATTTGTATGTAGTCTGATAGTTTTTCCTCCCTTAGCTAGATATTATGGCAATATGGGGTGGGGGGAATCATGCATGATGTGACTCTAGGCAGGTTTATATATCATGCAAAAGCAGCCCTGAGAATAAGCTTATACAGTGGATGTTTGCTAACAACCCACAGTATCCCAGACAGACAGGCGAGCTTGCTGTGGCTTGTACTCCCTCTCTCTCAGTCCTCCTGCCAACTCTAGCACGTATCTCAGTGGACTTTACAACAGAACCTGTCATATAGTCTTGCGCTGCTTCCCTCTTGTCTTCATTTTCCCTCCCTATCCATGGAATTTTACTTTTGGAGCCTCAAATTCATGACTGAGGATTATAATTGCTTATCATTGTCCTGGTTATTATTAGTTTGCCTTTTGCAAGCATTCTCTTATGGCTCTCCAATACATGTAGTCTCTCCTTGTGTTTTCAAAGGGAGCTGTAGGCAGCATACAAGGAGATTAACAGGAAGAGGTTGCCTATCAGCTAATTTGCACCCAATTGCAAAGGATTAATATTATAGGCAAGAAGAGACATAGTAATGCAAATCGGAAACCTCAAAAATTTGGGGGTGGAAGAAGCCATTCATTCTGTTGCTGCCAGTGTGCAAATGTTCATTTCTCATTTATCAGGTCAAAAAGATGCTCAACTAATCCAGACTGTTAAAAAAATATTTGAGGTGGCAAACCAGGATGGAGCAAATAAGCAGCTAGCACCAGCAGTACTTATACCTCCCTCTGTGGGGCCCTAGTCACTCCATCCCATGCAGCTGCCACCTCAGGGATTGTTTTTGCTTTTTAAAAAATATTACGGAATTACAGTAACTGCAGCAATAAATGCTCTAAAAACAAGCCATGAATAATTGTTGGTGGAAAGTTATCTCCTCTTTCTGGAGTAGCTGGAGAAGTTTAAAAAAATGGAGGGCATTAAAAAGTGTTAGTTCAACATGCAAAAGTAAGATGATCACATTGCTAAGGGAGAAATCCTGCTTCCCCACTTAGGCCTTTGGCTTTCACTTTCCTACTTTTAGTTTTTCTGACTTAGGTTACCAGGTCCCTGTTTCCTTAACTATTATTTCTCTCATGGCCCTTCACCAGCTTTGTGCAAATTGGACAATAGGCAGCCTCATCCTGTCTTTTCCCATATTGCCTATTCAACTTTGCAGCAATCTTGGGCAGCTGAAACATACAAGGAAATTGACCAAGAAAGACTTTGCATATGGGACCAGTATAAAGACAAGCACTTGCAAAAGACCCAGAAAATGTAATGAAAAATCCAACCCCTGTTACACATTTTTGTGAATCCAAATATCAAATAATAAAAATCAGGGAATTTATTTATTTTTATTTTTTTATTTATTTTTCGATTTATATCCTGCCTTTTTTCTCAAAGGACTCAAGGCAGCTTACATCATTCCCCTCCTCCATCTTATCCCCACAACAACCACCCTGTGAGGTAGGTTGGGCTGAGAGTCTGTGACTGGCCCAGAGTCACCCAGTTGGCTCCATGGACGAGTGGGGACTAGAACCCAGATCGTCTCAGTCCCATGCTCTTAACCACTACACCACACTGGAATGAGTGGTTGTTCTTTCAAACACCTTTTTCACAGTCATGAAAAGGCAGTCAGAGACAAAATTGCAAAAAAAAAGGATTGGTCTCAAGCTTTTTTGCCCCTTGCCGAACAGCTCTGAACCTCATTGTAGCAACCCATGAAAAAATCAATTTGCTGAGTTCAGATGACATGACAATTCATGGCAGCCCTACAGTGAGCCCTAGCTTCTCTCCATGGTTGTGGCCAAAAATTAAAGCTACTCTGCACTTATAAGCCCCGGGTTGTGCAAACCTGGTCTCTGAGCTGGATTAGGTGATTGTTCTGTCTACCCAATAGGCTTGCTATAAATCTTGTGCATGGCTAGGGCACCCTCAGTTCTAAGCAATCTTTATTACACTGATGGCTGGGCATGCACAATATGTGTTAATGGGGACTTGTATTAAGCAAGTGAACAATGTATAAAACATACTGACATGGAAATTGAGCTTGCATTTGATGAAGACATGGGCACTTAGCTTTGCATGATACCATAACCAACACACTCTGCACCATGACTTCCTAATAAAGTTTGTGCTTTTTATGGTCATCACATTGTTATTGAATAATAATGTAGCTACTGAGTTGACAAGTGAAGCTTATCAGTGACAGTGTAAAAAGCTCTTGTAGGTGGGCAAAGTATTTTGCTGATTACTGGAAAATGTGACCGTGATTACTTTGGAGATTGGTTGTATGTGACAAACCATTTCTTGTGCCTTCTGGAGCGCTAGTTATTGCTGTCTTTTTTATTCATTTCACTTTTCTTTCATGCTGACAGTTCCTTTCAATTTTTCTCCATTTAGGTGTAATTTAAGTCTGTTTATCATTCATTCATTTATAGGTAAGGTTGAATTCCATTAATACATAACTTCCAGGCTTCCAGTTTTTGTAGCCCATGCAATGTGATTCATTAAAGTACTTGTTCGGTTTCTTTCACTAGATACATAGAAAAATGGGTCCTTAATGTGGAGACCTTCAGTGACTCAGCTGCTATTTAGAAAAATATGTAGAACCCTTGAACTGTAAAATCATGAATGGTGTTAACATTTATAGGGACTTCCTTTTCTTGCTGATGAACGTCATGCTCTCTTGCCTTTTCTATGTACTTTAAAAATTGGTGTTTTTCTGTGCAGCTTGCATTGGCTGTGAGTGTTACTTTTGGTAGGTTTCAGGGTTTAAACTTGGTTTGTTGTATTTATTCATATTGCCAGAGTGTTGTACCTTGGTACAGGACAAACTGTTTTCCAAACTTACTTGTTTCAGCTAGGCTTGACAACTGGGAGAGAGGTTATATGTGCTAATTAAGTCACCCAATTAATTATGTTTACTCGAATTGAAATTCCTTGATCTTTTTTTGTTTGAACTGTTGTAGTGTAATTATGGAACTGATTTGTCTCTTACATGCTAATGTATTTCTCCTGATTTATCATTGCTTATACTTTGTTTTTAATTTCTGAGCACACTTGTATTCAGTAGTGATAATTACATTCTTCTTAAATCATACCAAACAGTGAGTGTAAGTTTTGCAACTTTCACATGTAGGATATTTGCAAACATGGTACATTTTTCTAATAAAATTTGAACATCTCTCTCTTGACCCGTCAAGCTCTCTTTCTGAGCTCCTCCAAACAGTGCTAAATGCACCCTAGATACATTTTCTTCTAGTTCTGTTCAAATTGTGACTGAAGTTAAAATAGTTAGGAACTAATGTACTTGCTAATAATTCTAGTCACTTTTGTTGCCTCCTTGTGTAAGTTTTTAAACAAAGCTGTGAACTCAAGTTCTTCTCAGTCTGATTTTCCACCTTATCTGTTCATGTAGCCTCTACATGGTTTTCCTGTGCCTTGAAATACATTGCTCCTTTCACAATATTTAGCAGTGCAGCATCTTGCCAACACTTAAGGAGGTTAAAAATAGTTTGAGAAAACTCTGGCAAAATTAAATTAAGGTAAGAGCTATTATGCCTTGAAGATAAATATACAGGATAAGGTGAATCCATATGAAAGAAAACAGTCCAAAGATCTTTAAATCATCTTATCATAGTGGTTCTTTTAATCCAAGGGATATTGATTGCAATGTCACTTACATATAGTACTTAATTCCACATATATGAAACAGAATCCATGACTTATTGGTACGCTGGAACTGCAGTCCGACTAATATCTGTACTTCTCTGATATAATGAGGTAAATATGCCATTATTCATTGTGTTAAGTCACATATAGATGGATAACCTGTCACTTGGTAGGATTCCTTAAAGAGTGTAAGATAATTATGCTTTTACAATGGGATTGCAAAATAACTGAATATTGATTCTTTTTGCAACTGCTGGAATATACTGTTTGCTAATATGTTTATCTGTTTTAATAATGCTGACAAAAGACAGGCACATTTCATTCTGTTCCACTTCAAGTCTACCTCTGGTATCCCATTTCTTTCTTCCTGCTTTCTCTATAAATTAGCCAGTCTTTTACTGCTTATATTTCTCTGAAAATATTAGAAATAACCTAGGTTCTTCTTTGTGGTTTCTGTGCATCACACATGAGGGCTTTGCACCTGTGCTGAGCCTGATGTTTGGAAGTTTCTGTGGCTAAGTGTTCAACTGGGAGCCCCCTTCCTTCCTTCCTTCCTTCCTTCCTTCCTTCCTTCCTTCCTTCCTGTGTAGTGCAGGTTAGTGAGATATCAAACTCATTGGCTGCACAAATATATCACATTAGATCCTTCTTGAATCCTACAAACACACATTGCCAAACAATTTCTTCCTTGGAAGATACATAATAATCCCCTCGCTCTTTTGAAGTAACGCCCAGACAGCATCTTAGTACAGAAAGTAGGTCAACACCCTATAACCTAACCTCCGGTATTGGGTAGTTG